TGGAAGGGGGGGGGGCAGAAGAAAAATCTCCATCACCATCACTCTTACACGTTACATGCAGGGCAGGCCCCGCGGAACGTTTTTCAAAGTGGATTATTAACAATCAAGTAGAGCGTAAAATGGCGTGGGGTCCAGGGCCTGGGCCCCGGTAGGGGGTAAAGTGGCTGATCCCCAAGAAGTTTAAGGGTTTTAGGCATTAAAATTATGATCAGATAAGCATATTTAGATACTTTATTTGTGACACTGGCAGGCCACTAATTGGCGGAGAGTCCAGGGAGCAGAGCCCCCGGAAGCTCGGGGGTTTTAGGTATTTAATAACGGTCAGATGAGCATACAGGGGACCGCCTTAGGGCCCTGGTGGGGTCTGGGGGCGGAGCCCCCGTAAGCTCTGGGGTTTTAGACATTTAATTACGGTCAGATGAGCATCCAGGGCCCCGCCTTAAGGCCCTTATTAGGGTCCAGGGGGCAAAGCCCCCGGAAGCTCGGGGGGGTTTAGGTATCTAATAACGATCAGATGAGCATACAGGGGACCGCCTTAGGGCCCTTGTTGGGGTCTGGGGGCGGAGCCCCCGTAAGCTCTGGGGTTTTAGACATTTAATTACGGTCAGATGAGCATCCAGGGCCCCGCCTTAAGGCCCTTATTAGGGTCCAGGGGGCAAAGCCCCCGGAAGCTCGGGGGGGTTTAGGTATCTAATAACGATCAGATGAGCATACAGGGGACCGCCTTAGGGCCCTTGTTGGGGTCTGGGGGCGGAGCCCCCGTAAGCTCTGGGGTTTTAGACATTTAATTACGGTCAGATGAGCATCTAGGGCCCCGCCTTAGGGCCCTTGGTAGGGTCCAGGGGGCAGAGCCCCCGGAAGCTCGGGGGTTTCAGGTATTTAATAACGGTCAGATGAGCATACAGGGGACCGCCTTAGGGCCCTTGGTGGGTCCGGGGGCGGAGCCTCCGTATTAAAGCTCTGGGGTTTAGGCATTTAATTACGGTCAGATGAGCATATTTTGATACCTCATTTGTGACATTGGCAGGTCACTTATTTTTTCTCTCTCTCTTTCTTTTTCTTTTTCAACAATTGAGGGTGGCACGAGTCCCGAGCCCGGCCGTTCTGCAGACCCTAACATAAAATGCTTCTAAATAAGCATATTTTTCGCCCGACTGTAAATTTGGGAATTTCTAATTTTCCAACAAACGCATAAAAAGGTATGACTTACAAACAAAATGAGAAAATATACCGGAAAATCAAGTCATTTCAGCAACATTTGTAAAAACACTGGTGTCGAATAAGAAAATATCCCCCCCCCCCCCCATCAGTACGCCAGCGTTCAGGGGCTCATAAGCTTCTCACCCCTATAACAAAAAACAGACACGCTTTCCCATTCTCTCGCAATATGTCCACGATATGCGCGTATCGCTATTATAAGAACCTCCATTGATAAATATAGGTAGCATGCGCAATGTTTAGGAAATTTAATTCCTGTTAACTTTCCTTTTCTTTGAATGGAATTTCATACGTCATTTAATTCAGGTTTTTATTATTGTTATGTTCTTTTGGGTTAAAAATACAAACCATCTTTACTCCTTTACTGCTTTTTTTTTTTTTTTTGAGGGGGGGGGGGGGCGTTTTGGGGGGGCAAAAATGCGTTTTGCCCCCCCCACTTTTTTGATTGGGGGGGGGGCAGCTGCCCCCCTGCCCCCCACTTCCGGCGCCTATGTGTACCTGCAAAACATTTTTCCTATTTCATTCTCTCTGTACCAAACTTTCACCTCTATCATTCTCTCTCTCTCTCTCTCTCCTTATTTCCACTTTTCTCTTTCTCTATCCCCCAGCTCTCTCTCTCTCTCTCCCAAGTCCATCTTGAGTTCCGTGCACAGGCGTTTTAACATCCTTTATTTTCTTTATACTCCTAAACCATTTACCCATAGAATGGCAAGTAAAGTGTACCTCTATTTCCCCTGTTAATTATGTAAATATACTATGTTGACACAAATTACTCTGCTTTCATCTGATTGTTCCCTTAAAACTTGATAAACTTTGCCACTAAGTGTAATCCAAATATAAAAATTTAATTTTGTGAGACAGGCTAATTATGGTTTCTTTTTTTCACTTTCTTGAAACAAAAATAGTATTCCAATAATCTCACTTATCAATTCATGGATCTAATTAATATTAACATGAAAGAAAATCTTCTCTTTGCCTAAAATTATTAAATACAATGCAAAAATATCGTTGACACGTCATATATTGCAATGAATAGATCAAATTCAAGTAAGACCCTAATTAAAGCAAGCATAACACAGGGGTATTTTTATAGGGCCCTCAGTTACTGATGAGGCAATTCTGGTTTAATGCAAGACAATTTATCACATTACCGGTATTAGAATCAGAATTAGCTTGTTTCGTAAAACATGGGCAAAGCATAGAACACATCAGTGAATCACCCAACATCTATTTCAGCTCCAGAATACGATGAGTACATAATCAATACCGGTAGCTATGAAAGTCTGACAAGAGTAATGAAAGAGAAATTCACAGAAGATCAATTTACACTTTGCAATAAGAAAATACATGTCTTTATTCACATCCTACAACAATCATGCCGAGGTTTGTTTAACTCATTGGTAAAAACATTATTGCGATTAAATCTCAGTTGATTATAGTATACTATGAATACTCTTATGCCTCCGTCACACCTTTGCCTTGCGTATTGCTGCGTATGTATGGCAAGCCGTTTTAACATTTGTTCCTATTTTATCAAGAATTACCAATGCTTTACAACAGAAAATCATTTCTTGATAATCAAGAAATAGGAATAAATGTTAAAACGGCTTGCCATAAATACGCAGCAATACGCAAGCCAATACGCAAATGCGTGACTGTGGCATAACATGAATGATTACTACATATGAAATACGGTTATTTATTAACAAAAAATTAATAATCAAAGAAGTTTTCTAAAAGTTCATGAAGTGAAGCCGGTACATAAAGACGACTCAAGTGAGACGAGAGTAGTGGAATCTTTGAGCAGGTGGCCTTTATGTATAACTTTTGTTTAATGTAGGTTTTAATGGGAAACACTTATAAGGGAAACACAAAAATGTGGTCTTTATAGACAGGTGGTTACTAACATAAAAGTAGGTTTGAATGTATACCGGTATACAGAACACTACCTGCTGGACTTGAAGTCAATCACCCATTTGAGGATTACTGCAGAACACCCCCACCACACAAGCAACCTTTACCCTATTAACCCTGACCCTTGACATGAACCCTAACCCTAACAAATCATTCAAACAAATGATGGGGTATCCTTCATGTATTAAGCTGAATTCCATATCAATATAATCATTACCACATGGAATATTTCCACTCTTTCAGACCACCCTAGGATTTTTGTAATGATTTGTAACCTGCACGTACATCTAAACGTTCAATTACATTACCACCTAGAACCCCCCCACAAGCTAGAAAATTTACTGAAATATAAAGATAACTGTCTGTCAAATATAGTGATACTAAGCTGGTAATTAAGAATAGTAGAAAAGATGTCATGGTGAAGTGGTTGCCATGCTTAATTATAGATGCATACTTTGTACAGGGAAAAAAATACATGGGGGCTCGGGGCGAATTAGCCCCCGAAAGTCATAAAAGAGCCCCCCAAAATTACATAGAGTTCAATGCAAAACAAAATAAAGAGTGTTATTTTCATGCAGGCAAGCTTGAAAAGTAGCCCCCAAAGTATTTTTTCCCCTGACTTTGTAGGTTTGTGCCCTCCCATGGTACACTGATATATTTGGTAAGATATCAATCTGTTTTTGCCACTTTCCAACAATGCGTACCTGGTAAGGAACATTTCCTTTAATTTCAAGAGCAACGATACTGGTAGCCTAGCTAAAGCTGGGGTGTATTTGGAGCACCTTTAGCGCCATACATGGTGGATATGAGCGCTATACAGGGTGAGTCAGAAAAAATGTCCCACTTTTTAAAAGTTGTATTGTTTTAAGTATGAGGATTTAATTATGGGTTTCATGATATGTCTTGATAGAGTTATCCTCCCAGTACATTTAGGTACCATGTTCATTTAAATCCCTTGATGCATGACTGAACATCAGACAATCTTTACAAGACTGCCATATTTCACTTGCGCCAACTTACTGGGTGAGGAATAAAACAGTGCATTGAACAAAGTCAGTCAGACAGACAGACAGTGGGACATTTTTTCTGACTCACCCTGTAGTATCAGAAGCTATCTAGTATTGCTGTCGTACTATGAGGTATAGTCGTACTTGTCATAAAGGACAATACAATTCTGAGGTATGAATTTGTATACGGCAAAAGCAGTTGTACAGAATTGCCAATGATAATAATAATAATATTTAATAATAATATTTAATATTATATAGCGCTTAATACAAATGTCTCTAAGCGCTTTACAAAATATACTATTACCCCGGTCATTGGATTCAGTGCTTGCCCGCAAACAATGTGTGCACAATCTCCACTCCCTGGGGAGCATTCCAGCGAGACGTTACATGACGCTCAAAAATACACTTCATCATATCTAAAAGGTAGGATACAAACCCCACTGATCTCATCTGGTATAAAATCCTTTATATACTATAGGGGGGAGAGGGCGGCACTCCTCTGGTATAAATTCTTTAATACTCTTCAGCAACTCCCCACTTCTCCTGTATAAAATATTCCATTCTCTTCATTACCTGAAGAAAAAGGAGGGGGGATTCCAATCCTCTGGTACAAAGGAGACGTAGATGCATTATTCTTGTTCTATGTTACCCCCACTCTAAAAAGTTCCTGGGGGGAGGAGATGGCTTCTAAGGCCCCTTCCCAATGATCTTCGCCGATCGCCGCAAAAATTTGCATGCATGTCAAGTGAATACATTACTATGGTAATTTAATTTGTTTTTGAAAAATTCACTCATTTGCATATTTATGGTAATTTATGCAAATAAAGTAATCAAATTCACATTTTACCCATAATTCATATATTCTTCATATTTAAACATTAGTATTCACTACATATATATACTTTAGACCATTTGGGATAATAATGCCAAAACAAAAATTGGAAGAGCCGTTGATCTATTGATCTATGGATTAAATTCCCCTCAGCAATTGGAGAAAAACTCCCTAGCCTGGTATAAAATTTACCATAAAGTTCATCAATAACCCTGGGTGAGAGGAACAAAGATCTTAAATTTATCTCTCTGTGAAGGCGCATACCCTACTCCTCAGGTATAAATTCTTCCATTCACTTTCATCAGCTTCTCCATGTGAAGGGGGAGGGAGGGAGGCAAACCCACTCTTCATCAGCTCTGATTGAAGGGGGGCAAACCCCACTCCTCCGGTATAATATCTTCCATGTTCTTGAGAACTTGATCAGCCGAGATGGTATCATCAGTGCCGATGAGCCTCTCATCCGGGATCATCACGACCCACATGTCCGCTGCTTTACCTGATAACACGCCGTTGGGAGCATCTTCAAAGACGAGAACCTGAACAACAAGAGAAAGATGAGAATGCTGCTTGTAAGTGTCGGCTTGCATGGTGATGTAGATATACAGTAGGCTTGCGGGTGCACCATGTGAGAGAGAGAGAGAGAGAGAGAGGATTGAGGAGTCCTGAAAAGGACTCTGACTCGGTAATCTTTCTTGGGGGTGTGTAGTCCTGAAAAAGACTGTTTGTTATCTTTTTTAGCTCATAGTTCTAAGAGAACTATAGCGATAGTTCTAAGAGAACTATAGCGATAGTTCTAAGAGAACTATAGCGCTTGGAGAGGATGAGTTGCTCGACGTTTCGAACAGGTTGACTATCCATCATCAGGAGTTGAGAATAGCTGGCGTGCGTGAGTCAGAGTTAGAGTCCTTTTCAGGACTCCTCAATCCTCTCTCTCTCTCTCTCTCACATGGTGCACCCGCAAGCCTACTGTATAAAGATAAGAATGTTATCACCTCAAAATGTATAAACAAATATGATAATAAACACAAAAGGATGAACAGTAATTCATGATGATATTCATGTAAATTATTTCACTTTGGGGCTCCGTATGTGTAGAGGAATGTAGATATAGCGTACTACATGTATTAAACCTCATTCAGATATACAACGGTAAACTGTGGAAGATATTTTATGATGGTGTAAAGTGTGATACGCCTCACATTTTCTATCTTACAACATAGAGGTAAGTGAATATGTGCTGGACCTTTGTTGTACGCAGTTGGACGCAGTTGTCATCCATTTACACATTTTCTTTTTTAGGAAGTGGTTTACCCCGTCATATCTGCACCAGCCTTTAAGGTGCAGAAATATAGCCTTGTTATAGAAAATGGTAAAGCAGAAACTTTTTTAAGAGTGGGGGTAAGATAGAACAAGAGTGGGGGTAAGACAAATGCAACTGCATCTCCTATATGCCCCGTCCCAAAATCAGTGTAGGTAATTATTTGTGACATATCACAATTAAAACAAAAAGCCTATAATCACAACTATGATCTTGACCTACTAGCCTCAAAATTTCATTGGATCATCTTCCTAAAGTAATACTGTCACCATGTTTGAAGCTCATACCTCAAGAAGTTCTTGACATATTGTGATAAAGGTAATGCATCTACTTTCAAAAATTTACCTCTATTAACCTTTGACCTTTTGTTAAACTTCCCCTTAAATCTAATTAGGCCTTCTTTCTATGGTGACACAAATTATACCAATGTTTGAAGCTCATACCTGTAGTTGTTCTTAACATATTGCAATATCAAAGCTGATCCACTAACTCCAAAATCTAATCAGATAGTCTTCCTACAATGGTACACACTATCCCCATGTTTGAAGTTCATATCTCAAGTGGTTCATGAGATATTGTGATAACGAGGATAATACCTTTAATTTCAGAAATTGACCTCTAAGATGTTTGACCTTTCAACAAATCAATCCAAAATCTACTTATCTTTTCTTCCTATTATGATAAATACTGTCATCCAGGGCAGGGCTCAAATTAATTTTTGCCCACGGGGGCTCTTCCAAAAAAAAAAGAGCCCCCGTGAGCCTTCTCATGGGGGCGCTTTTAGTGCTGACGGGGGCTCTTATTTTAATACAAATTTCCATTGAATTGGTACCCGTGAAACTCCTTGGTATTTTATCATTGTCATTTATCTAAGTCGGTATTTTTCCTCTTAGAAATTTACTTGTGACATAGCTGTTATTGACTTTTATCCCCGTGAGGACATTTTCTCCATTTCTTCCCGTTCTGCACATAATTTCCTCCTCATTATTAGGAGCAACCTTATTTACATTCTTTCTTTACTTTTAGCTTTTTGCTAAGGGTGGGGGGAGGTACCCCAAATACGATGTGGAGCATCGTCCACGAGCCGCGTAGCGGCGAGGCGATTTTTGTTGTTGCTATTTTGAACCCCCGTTAGTGATGTTTTCCTGGCATCTACTGATATCTACTAATACTGTGTAGGTCTGGACACATGATAGCATTTTTCTGTGCACATCACATTTTTCGTTTGCAGCCCAAGGGGGAGGGGGGTTAAACCCCCTATAAACCGCCTAGATCCGCCCCTGCAACATCTTATGCCTTCTTTTTCTTCTCAATATTGATTTACTGGTCGGGTTACATTATTTGCTAGTCTTTAAGAATCACCAGATTTTAGAGGATTCAAACTTTCACAACGAAAAACTTCTCCATGTTTCAGTCCTTGCGCGATTGTCGATGTCCAGTTCCAGCAGATATTGGGCGTCAGCGTGCACACCGGTACTACCAGCGCAGTATAGCCACTGTGCTGACGGCCGCACCACGAGCTTCCGTTGTTTGTATCGGGAATACTCGTAGAGATGGTAGAGAAAGCGCCATCTAAGTTCCATTTCATTGGTTTAAGGTTTGAAAATTAAACTCAATATTGTGTTAAAGTTATATCTGAAAAGATAATCTTAATTTTATAATTCCACGGGGGCGATTTTTAATTTTGCAATCGCCCCCGTGAGCAACCTGACGGGGCGATTATGGAGCTCCCGAGGGCGAATCGCCCACCGCCCCCGTGTATTTTGAGCGCTGCTGTCATCCAAGTTTGAAGGTCATATTTCAAGTGGTTCTTGAGATATTGCGATAACGAGAAAGCTGGACAGACGGACAACCCGAAAACATAACCCCTCCGGTTCCACCTCTATGGACGGAGGCATGAAAGAGTAAAATGATACCAGCTCTAATGTCTTATGGCCAATTCATAATTATGGCAATTAGCAAAATAAAAACTATTCCACATTTAAATGAATAGCAACAAGGCCACGACTTTGTGATCTATGGTATGAATGACAATAAAATTATATGTGACGCGCACCATGCTTACGTCGCTATATTTTGACATGACAAAAACAATACATTCACCAAATATGTAATTCTTGTCATACAATGTGTCTGAAATTTTGGTAATATATAATTGAAACTGGAAAAAAAATGTGGCAGATTATTTGAGCCTGTTCACTGCATCATTCCTAAAGAAGGCTTGTGAATCAATTTTCTGTCATGACACAAACTCACAAAGATTAATTTTAATACAGTGTTACATGTATAAATATAAGTGGCCAAAGACAGGCAGGTGGTCTTTCTATACAGGTAGTTATTGAAGCTGGATTATTGTATGTATTCTAAAAATGTTTGAAGTCAAGAGATCTTGTAACTTACATTTGAGGCTGATTTTGGAGATCATGTACTTATGCATTGAGATCATAAGTTTGACTCTTAAACAGAATTCAAGATCAGTTTAACTTTATATGTATTCCCAAAATGTGTGAAGTCAAGATATCATGTAACTTACATTTGATGGTTAGTTTGGAGGTAGATACATCACATTTAAATACAAACTCTTAAACAGAATTCGAAATTAATTCATCTTTAATATGTATTCCCAAAATGTGTGAATTCTAGAAATCTTGTAACTTACATTTGAGGCTTATTTTGGAGATCATGTACTTATGCATTGAGATCATAAGTTTGACTCTTAAACAGAATTTAAGATTAATTCAACTTTAATATGTATTCCAAAAATATGAGAAGTCACAAAATCTTGTAACTTACATTCCTGGGTGATGCTGGTGGATTCTCCTTGAATCTATTGGACGCAACCTGGAAAATATCCGGAGCGGGTTTCCCATGGTGCACCGCAAGGTCATCACCAGAGCAGACGATGTGATGGAACAGGTTGAAGAAGTCTTTGTGATGGGTTGTTTTCAGGTCATATGCCGGCGTAGAGGAACCGGTAGCAACGGCGATAGGGATAGAATGCTTGTGTAAATGACGTACAAATCTATCAGCACCTGCATAGAAGAATAAGAAATGGTTGAAATCTTGAATGCAATCTATTTTTATTTCTGAAATGATGTGCAAATGGCATGGGTGTCGATCCGTAACTGATACCTATTCATCAGGGGGGATGATCTATTCATTCATCCCCCTGATGAATAGGTATTACGTAAGTATCGACACCCATGGCAAATGGCATTGCAATGAACGTACAGACCTGGAATGAAAAGTAGAGAATAAAAAACAACTTGCGAAAATGTCTGTTTCCTTGTCAGCTGTGAAAAATATTGTTGGATAAAAGTATTGGCTTCTACTGTTTTTAATGAAATAAAACAGTTGTGTAGCATGAGTCAAATTATTGAGGGGCACCTGTCTCACTCATATTAATGTTATAATTCATAAGGCTTCTGAAAAGGGGAAAGGTTTGGGAGGGGTCCCCATTGTATTATTTTCTTGTCCTTTTTCATTTTCTCTTTACCTTTCTCTCCATTTTAGCATGCTCCTTCTTTTTCTATTTGTTCTCTGTTATTTGAAGGGGCAATGAGGGGGTGGGGGTGGGAGGGGGGGGGTAGGGGATTTGACACACATGCCCACTGTAAAAATGATCTTACCAGGAAGAAGTTTTGCATCAGGCATGATCGTGGTCATTTCATCACTGATCTCTCGTACCCACTGCTCTGCATTCACCGGCAGTTTAAGAATATCGATGATCATCTGAGCGGACTCCATCGTCTTTCTTCCCATCAGTTTCTGCTTGATCTCCCATGTAAAAGTCTTGCCATACTTCCCACAGACTTTATCGTAGACAATCGTATACAAGCGCTCAGTGTCTGAAAGAAACAAATAAAACAAATCATTTATGGTAATCTTGTTGAAGATCTTAAAGATTCAAAAAGTTTAATAAACTTCTACTAATTATAAGTTTAGGAGGCGGTGTAGGAGGCGGTGTGGCACAATTGAATCATCGTCTGACTTTCATGACTTTCATCAAGCACATGCGTTAGTTCCCTGAGCTGAGTTGAGCAGACATAAAAAGCAAATCTGACAAAGTGTCAATCAATTTTGCCTGGATAAACAAATGGTAGTGATATTTCTAACTTAAATTGGCTGTTCTACGCAAGAAAAAAAAATCATGACATCATCGAAACAGAACCTAGAGCACGCTCCCTCGCAACACAGTCACCAAACATACAGGTTGGCACTTCAACCTCAATAAATTTTTATTTTGGCGCTTCTAATAACCTAGTTGAGAAGGCCTGACCTAGAGTATATAGTCGATCTACATCTAGTATAAACTTAAAGCTGAAGTGCGCCAGGCCAGGGCCCGTGGGAGATCGAAGGATACGTGCATTCACCTCAGCTCAGCTCAGGTCCCCGTCCGAAGCCCGTCACAGTCATGGCTGTACCCGCAACACATTGCCCGTGTTCATTCATGCCTGGAAATCATCATGCCAGGCCCATTTCTTGGCCTAATAATACAAAGATAATGTCGTATATTTCTTACCTATCAACAATCCATCCATGTCAAAGATGACATGGGTAATTTGAGCTTTAGGTTCTGGAGTTGACATCTTGAAGTTCTCCAAGTTATCGCAAGTAGAAAAGAAAAGGCCAAACGCGTGGCCGCAGATTATCATCTGTCGTTGTTAAAGTGTAGTTTCCTTCCAGAATAAAAAATTAATAACATAATTGCATGATGCAATTACAGTACCATAGTTGTGTTTTTAAAATATAATACACCATGACATTGAGCATTTATTTCAATTAATTAATTAATTCAATAAATGCTTATTACCATTGTTATATTAAACTTCACCTTCACCTCCCGCTACCATCACTACTAAAAAAAACGACTGAAGTAAGACTATCACGACAGGAGAGGGGGTTTCCCTGAAAGAACTGGGGGGAGAGAGGGGGGGGGGGGGGGGGGGGGAGTGGTGATTCTGATGATTAAATGTATAATTATAGGCCTACCACATAAATGATTGAAAGATATACAAACAAGAAAGTAGTAAACATCAATCATCTACCAGCACCACCATAATTGTACTTTATTTTCATTATTCTTTCTTGAGTAATCGAGGAGTCAACATCAACATAAACATGACATACAGTCATCGTCCATAGACTGGGTCACTAATATATTCAAATGTTTTCCCCTGGGGGCCTAGCTAGTGTTGAGTTATTCCATTAACCTGTTATTGATAAATGAAGTACAATTCTCAAAATACTGTCTGTATACAATGCTTGGTGCTATATCGGGCAAGCTTTCAAGTTGCAACCATGGTTTTAAAGTAAGAGGTAAGAGGTCATTTTTTTTTTTTTTTTTTTGGGGGGGGGGTCCCCCAAAAAATCGCAACGACTCAGCCGACCGCTGAATAAGCGGGGGGGGGGGGGGGGGGGGGGGGGGGGGTAAGAGGACACATTTTTTTTTTTTTTTTGGTCTCGAAATTTGAAAATCCAAAAGGGGGGGGGGGTTTAGAGAAATTTAGGGGGGGTTTACACACACAAAAATTACCAAAAGGGGGGTTTACCCCCCCCCCCCCCCCCCACCCCCCCCCCCCCCCCCCCCCCCCCCCCCCCCCCCCCCCCCCCCACCCCCCCCCCCCCCCCCCCCCCCCCCCCCCTGTGTACGCGCCTGCCAGCAACACACGACAGTATCACTCAAAGAAGTTGCTGGCTATCCCATCCCGCACCCAGCTCTACCAGAACTCATTTTCTCCTCGGACAGTAACTGCGTGGAATGCACTTTCAAAGATCACCCTTAACGCTACTTCACTGGAGGGCTTCAAGGGAGCGCTTCCACCAAGCATCTAGACCAAGAACTAGATAGTTTATTCCTCAGCACTACATCCTGACTTATGGATCCTGCTGAGTATCGTCGTAGAAGTAGAAGTAGAAGTAGTGGATGTGTATTACCTGATCTCTGGCATAGGTTTCCTTCGCGAGCTCAATCTGGGCTCGCTATTTGATACGAAAAAATAAGACGCAGCCGGGCTAGGGGCTGCACTCCCCCCCCCCTTCCCCTGTATTTTTAGGTCTGATCTTTTCGTGCAACCACCACCTCAAAATCTAGCAGTGAAGTACTTGAATATCCACATAATTGGGCAATGAGATATCCTTAATATCGAGAGCGAGGCGATCGAATAGTCTTGGGTAGGAGGTGCGAGAATATCGTACTTCTGTAAATTATTCTTTACTTTAAAAAATGAAAAGTTGACATTCGAGCACAAGGATTTATGCAGCATCCCCCCTCCCCTCGCAAAAAATTTACCACTGAAAAAGAATCATATTTCTTCAGAAGTATGAAATTTGTGACATACATAAGAATGTCCTGTTTATTTTCTGTACAGGTGTACAATGAAATCATAACATAACGGTCACTACCACTCGGCCTTCCTTCACCATTTTTATAGACCACCATGGAAACTTTTATTATTATTATATGGTTCATGGCACGGTTGTATATATTGAAAGGGGGTGCATAGAGCAATCCCTCCGGTGTTTGACAAAGAAAATAAAAGTAAAACAAAAGCCGATATTGCATTTTTTAAACATCTTATATTATGAAAACATTCGATAACCTCTAAAAGGTATAGGTTAACATTCATCTTAGTCAACAAAATCTATGCCCCATGACAAAGAGAAATGTTGATGCTTGTACACGAAAATAAAGATAGATCAAAATAATGCATTCCAATCTTTCTCCGCAAACCTTCGTTATCTTTGAAGGGTCAGGCACCGTTCAAAGATCATAAAACAACAATGGACTCGGGTAGATGAAGAGATTACTTAGCACAAACTTCTAAACCGAAGAAGTTGTGTAATAGTACACCATTGTTTCAATGACATTGTTACAAAACATCAATGACATCTCTAATTAAAGACATTTTGTTGAGAAGGTAGCATTTGTGAACATGTTTCATGTGAATGTCATGCTTCTGTTTCCGGATCGTGATTAAAAGAGACAGAAGTAATCGTTTACCTTCTCACTCAGCGATAACAAGAAAGGTGAGTGCGTTTAAATTTTCATTCAATATGCCTAATAATTATATATACGTATCGAATTAGTTTCGTGATGATATTCTATGTTGTCACGATAATTGGGAAAGCAGGAGAGCTGTCACAATTAATAGAAAATCGGGCTCGTTCTATTGTAATTAGAAAAATGGATGCCGAACTCAACATATGAACTTGTCATTACGCCCAAATGTTAATTTATCACACGGGCTTAGGCTAGAGGAAAAGAACTGTAGCATGAATAAATTTATCAATGCAAATCGTGAGTGAGATAAAACTAAGGGTTATAATCTTTGATTTCTATTTGGAATCTTAAGAGTCTGCAATTGCAATTATTGTAATCAAAATGGTGATTTTTTTTTAAATATTAGTTTTGCAAGCAACATAATCGATTTCTATTTTCTCTTAGATTTAACGACAATTAAAGTAGATGACCTCACAGTCTATTAGAACAGTGGCGTAGAGTGGGCCCATATAATGAAGGGGCAACGGAATGTGCGTTCTTACCTGATGAATGATATATAAATAACAAGGCTTTCGACCAGGAGGTGGGAGGTCGTCCTAGCATTTTTAAATCTTCCTTTCTCCCTCCCTCTCCACAATTTTTCATCACCCCCTTTCTCTTGATTGCACTTTCCTACTTTTTCCTACCTTTCGATTGAGAAGGGTGCATGCCCCCCCCCCCCCCCGCCCCCGTAGCTATACGCCGCTGTTATACAGCATGAATAGGGACTTTTAGATTCTGCACGACGAGAACGTGGACTAATAATTCATCATTATTTCCCTCTTCTTCCTTCTCCTCTTTTTCTTCTTCTCCTTCTTCTTTTTCTTCTTGTACTTAATATCATTTCTATCATCAGTTTAATGTTGTTATTATTATTATTATCTTTAATAAGTAGTTCTTTTAATTTTCTTATCTGTCTGTAAATATTACTATTTTAACTTATTAATCTTATACATGTCTGTAAGGGATCCCACTGGAAATAAGCTCTCGAGCTTTCGTGGGTTATCCTGTTCAAGCTGACTTATTTTTTATCTGTTATTATTGTATATTGTTGTATGTTGAAAGCTTGTCGAATAAAAATCAATCAATCAATCAATCAATCAATCGACTGCCCTTTTAAGGCAACGTGACGTCACTGCCAGTGCCTTAAAAGGACGTCACATTGCCTTAAAAGGGCAGTCCACGTTCTCGTCGTGCAGAATCTAAAACTCCCTAATGTTGACAGTGAAGCATGTGATTTTTCTTTTGCAGGTGTGATGAACACTCGATTCATTATGGCCTCTATGGTATCATTCGGCATTGCTTTCTTCTTTATACAAGTATTATGTAAGTACAGGACTTTTCAATTGCAGCCTATAAGTTAGACTAAACCTGTTTAGACGAAAAATGCGGTTTGTATTATTGGGCAAATGTTTCATTACAGGCGCGTAGCCCGGGGGGCGGTGGGGGCGGTCGCCCCCCAAAAAACGCCGGCCAAAAAAAAAAGAGAGAGAATGAGGAGGAAAAAAAAGAGGACGTAGGAAGAAAAAGGGAAAAGGAGTTGAGAACGGTACAACGAATCATCAAAGCTTCCGCGCTTCGCGCGGGAAGGGGGGAACTGAGTTCAAATTTAGGATTAAGGGTCGGGAAAGTTACAACGAATCGTCTTCTTTCTCTTATAATTTAATGAAACGTCAAAACTTCGCACGAGAGGGGGGGGGGGAACAGAATTCAGACAATGATTAAGAGTCGAGAAAGGTACAACGAATCGTCTTCTTTCTCTAATAATTTAATAAAACGTCAAAGCTTCGCGTGAGAGGGAGAGGGACTAAATTCAGACAAGGATTATGAGTCGAGAAAAGGACAACGAATCGTCTTCTTTCGAAGCTTTAGCGCTTCGCGCGGGAGGGGGACTGAATACAGATAAGGTTTAGGAGTCGGGAAATTAGGTACAACGAATCGTCACTTTTCTCTAATATTTTGATGAAACGTCAAAGCTTCGCGCGAGAGGGGGGAGGGACTGAATTCAGACAAGGATTATGATTCGAGAAAGGTACAACGAATCGTCTTCTTTCAAAGCTTCCGCGCTTTGCGCGGGAGCCTGCACCCACCCCCACCCCCTAGGGAGCGCGCTTCGCGTGTTCATTACCGCCCCCTCTAAAATGAAATCCTGGCTACGCGCTTGTTTCATTATAATTGTGACACATGCGAAAAAATAAAATGTGATCGTTTTAGACTGTCATATGCTCTTTATAATCTGATTTCCTTTTCATATCAGCTCTTCGTAAATAACACCTAATTGCAATTTATTTTGTAATGTTCAAAATAAATCTTCTCGTTGTAGTTCATCTGATCACAGGACTGATATTTGTGGGGGGAAAAATACCGTTTGTACATTTCATTTGATTGTAAAATTGTATATGAGTCTGTGTGTTTTAATAGAGATTACTGACATGAAAGATAAGGTTGAATTCTGGTAATGGTGAAAAAAAACATTGAAACAGTTTCTATTCAAATTCACACCAATAAGCCAGTTTACAGATACAATCTGCGCATGGGCAGATGAAGGTCATTTGTACCAAAATGGTAAAACCCACAGAGATGAATACTGGATATGCGCTCATGAAAGTTATGTAACATTATTCATTTATGCACCAACGATACGTTCCAAGATACGCAGGTGGAAGTATTCTTT